AAGGCCTCACGGCCGAAACGCGTACGCCTACGTTCTTTACTGAAGTTGGACTTACCAAGTCCTGATTCTACCTTTTTTCCCACTCTAAGTACTCCTAGTTGTTAGTCAAGAATTTCGAGGAGACCCTACGCTTGCTGCGGCTCGAATCCATATTTTCTTGCGCATGAGGCTACCTCTGCTTTGCTAACGGGAATCGCCGAGCGTATACGTGGTCTTCGTTCTCATCATCTATGACTGAAGATCGCGGCTGGAAACGTTCGTCGACGGAGAGGTCACCAGAGAACTTTCTTCTTCGACGTTCAATTCTGCCTACACACACGGCTAAGAGAGCTGCGATCGAAGGACCTTCTTTTCCTGGTTTTCGTCCTGCTAGTTTCTTTCTTTCTAATCAAGATTTACCTCCAGCAATTCGAGATTTTGGCAAGGAAACGGCGATCGCGGTGAACGACGGATCTGCCTCGGCGATTTGCCCACCACAAGCGACTACGAGCAATTTGCTTCCGTCGGCGACTCGCACGATCCAGTTACCTCCTACATCTATAGATCCATCTCGACCTCGGACGACTACGGATCTACCTCAGTCGGCGACGGTTAATAAGTCTACAGATCCTGTTCAAGACGCAACCAACGTCGAGCCGGAAATTGTGCCTGACTCGTTTGAAGGAGATTTCATCGTAACTAATTCCTTGGAAAATTTTCTACAGGAAACGGAAGCGACGCACTCGAAGAAGCTGATGGCGTCTCACGGTCCAAATCCAGCAGGAGGACCAGGCGCAACCGATCCGGCTAGCCTCGCTAATTCCGTTCTTCAACAACAACTGGAAGAACAGCAGCGGCAGATGCTTCAACAACCGCGACAACTGGAACCAGGAGAGGTTGTGGGGCTTCTGAATCAGCAGAAGAACATTCTCGTGACAGCGTGTGAAGCATTCATCGCTGCATCGAAAGGATCTCATGGATCTGCCTCGTCTGGTTCGACTTACGGAATTCCTGTAACTGACAAAATTCTGGATGTCTTGTTGCAGCAGCTCCAGACCTACACCAAGAACTTTCGAGATGCGGTTGTCAAGCAGTTAAAATTGAAGACGAAGGTGGAACGTCTCAAACAGCTGTTTACTGAAGGAAAGCTGCCCAAGAGTTTCAAGTCGTCACCTATGACTTACCTTGGGAATGATCTCGAGGTCAAGACGGAGGGGGACGAAGGATTCAAACGTCTGGAACGAGAATACCAGAAGTGCTGCTTCGAACTACTGATTGGACTGCACGAAAAGGAGCTGCAGAAGCTCTCCGCCAACATTGAGAATGCTGAAGGAGAGTTCCGCCACCAGCTGGAGAAAACAGGTAAGATGGGACCCTCGGTGGTCTTTCAGGAGAGCTTCAGCACCTGGGAACAGCAGCTGTTGACTTCGTTTTCGAAGTCTGCCAAGGAGATCGTCATGGAGGAAACCCTGAAATACGTGGATCAGCAGGAGGCTGCACAGCGAGAAGTGCTGCGGAAGCAGAATGCTAAGGCGGCAGCAGAAACTATGGAGGTGGAACCCACCATACGTGAGCTTCTTGACAAGTCTGACATAAACAAGCGGCTGGCAGCGCTGGAGAAACAGGTGGGGGGATCGAAGCCCCAATCCCAGCAGCAGCAGCAGCAGCAGCAGCCGCAGCAACAGCAGCAGCAGCAGCAGAAGAAACAGCAACCACAGCTACAGCAGCAACAGCAGCAGCAGCAACAGCAGCAACAGCAGCAGCAGCAGCAGCAGCCACAGCAGCAGTGGCACATTGGGCCACAGCAGCAGTCATTTCCACCCCCCATGAACCCATGGGGTAACCCGTGGCAGCCACTGGACAACTTCCATGACCTCCCTTCTGATCCCTTCTCTGAGCCAAAAAACGGGCCAGGTTGGGGGAGGGGGAGGGGGAGGGGCAGGGGAGACAGCGGCAGGGGAGGAAGAGGCAACGGCGGAAGGTTCCAAGGAAGAGGAAACCTCTGCGGGCGGGGTTAGCAACACTCAGTGAACGGGAGTTGGCTCTTCATTACTTCGAGAAGATGACAGAGTCACAACTGAGGAGAAGGGTGCTGAATAGAAGCATCTTCAATTTAAGCTCCAGAAGACTTTCAGTCCATGAGGAGAAAGTCCTGGGACTTGGCTTGAATTTCATCCCTACACCTTCGCCTGCACAGTACACCACGGATGTAGCTATTCTGTCTGACTTTGATCGTTTTGCTAGAAACCTGAGACTAAGACGTTTCTTTGGGAATGTTAAGAGGGAAGTTGGTTTTAGAATTCCTAATTCTACTTGGGATGTTCCTGCTGATAAACGTGATGTATGCCTTGATACTATAGTTGAGAAACACAGGGCTAAACTTCAACAGCAATTGCTGGAAGTTCAACCCAAGAGGTGGACAAACTTTCCTCCACAGCTGAGGAAAGCTTTGAAAGCCTTGGCCCAAGACCCCTCTATTGTGGTTAAACCCGCAGACAAGAATCTCGGGATAACCATTATGGATAAAGGGTTCTACCTTGAGCAATGCCTTCAACATCTACGTGATGACAACGTCTACAGGAGAGTTGATCTCATTCCTATGGAACAGATACAGTCTAGCTTTTTTAGGATCAAGATGGAATTCCTTCCCTGCATCCCTAAAAGAGTGTGGGACTATTTGGAAACACCACCAACGACAGGCTGGAAACCAGCATGGTTTTACATACTCCTTAAAATGCACAAGAAGGTTCCTGTAGGGCGACCAATTGCTGCCTCCCATTCTTGGATAACTACTTTGACATCCAAATGGTTGGATGGACAGCTTCGCCCTTTTTTGAAGAAACAGAAGACCTTTCTGAAGGATAGTACCTCCTTACTCTTGGAGATTGAAGGTTTGCAGCTTAGCTCGGATATTATCTTGTGCACTTATGATGTTCAAAGTTTGTATCCTTCTATACCAATATTAGATGGGGTAGAAGCGGTAGATAGGCTTTTGTTTCGAGAACAACATCCTCTTAGGCCGCTACTGATTAAGCTTCTTAGGTGGGATATGCTCAATTCCTTTGTTCAGTTTGATAATATAATATATCAACAGGTACAAGGTACGGCAATGGGCACCCCGGTTGCTCCCATCTTCGCCACCCTGTTTATGAGTTGGCTTGATGAGGAGTTATATCGGAAGGTAGACCATCTGCCATTGGTACATTATAGGTACATAGACGACGGTTTCATTCTTTGGGACAAGGGGAAAGAAGAGCTGCAGAAGTTCCTCTCGGTGTTCAACGAGCTCCGCCCAACCATCAAGTTCACTTGGGAGGTTAACGACAACAGTGTTGACTTCCTCGACCTGACTCTCTACAAAGGGGAAAGGTTTAAGAAGACCGGCTGCTTGGACGTCTCAACCTTTCAGAAGCCACTTAACAAATACCTTTACCTTCCATTCTCCTCCTACCACTCGAGGGAATGCAAGATAGGGTTCATGTCGGGTGAGCTTAAGAGGCATTGCCTCCGAAACTCTTCAGCTACCACGTTCTTCAACAGAAAGGTGGCCTTCTTCAAACGCCTCAGAGCCCGAGGGTACCCTGATAGCTTCTTACGTCCGATCTTCGACCGTGTGAAACACAAGGATCGAGTTTCTCTGCTCCAAGGCTGCATGAAGACAAAACAGAGGGAGGCACCCCAGTCCTTGAAGGTAAGACGCTGCCCGAAAACATCGAGCATGGGACTGGGGTCATTTTTTAGAATTCTCAAAAGTGATTTCCATATAGCCGGCGTACAATTCCCTCGTTTTTTGACATGTTGGAAGTTACCTGCGCGGTTACAACACCGACTGGTAAGGGCTCGCTTCACTACAGCGAACTCACCTAATGTTGAGGATTGGTAGTCCCTTTGACCTTCGGGACCAATTGTCCGCGTTGGCAAGGGTGATCCGACTTGGCAGTTTCTTGAAGTTCGGGTAGATTACACCTGGAGTTTGTCTAGACCTAGGGAAATTCGGGGAAGTTAGAGGATAACGGGAAATGGGTAGAAAAGGGATTAGAGTAGTCTTTCATTCTGTAATCCTACGGCGCTGACGAAGGCCTCACGGCCGAAACGAGTACGCCTACGTTCTTTACTGAAGTTGGACTTACCAAGCCCTGATTCTACCTTTTTTCCCACTCTAAGTACTCCTAGTTGTTAGTCAAGAATTTCGAGGAGACCCTACGCTTGCTGCGGCTCGAATCCATATTTTCTTGGGCAGGCGACTGAAGGTGCTTTCTAGGAATGGGCGGGTGTGAGCATCTGAGACCTAGAAAATCTCTTGAGGTGATGCATCGTCCTCTTGCTCTTTCCTACCTTTGACAATCCTCAAATGTGACTCAACCTGTCTTCCCCCCTGCTTCGCCTCTCTGGACTGTGCTGTGCTGGCTCTGCGTCTGCTGCTGCTGCATGTGGTTGCAGGACGATGCTGATTGGTCGAAGCTGAGCATCAAGGATGTGAGTGCCTCTGTCGTGTTCTTGGGTTGGGACTGCTGGGTCTGAGATCAGATTTTATTGAAAGAGATTTTTAGATATGAGCTTACTGAGTAAATGAGAAAGCGGAGCAGGGGCACATAGTGGATCAGGGTGTTTGGGGTTTACAGCTTGCCAGGCTGTTTGCAGTTTGCTCCTTATGTCACCCGTCCATCCCACTTTCCACCCCCATGCTCTGGATTTTTCACCCGTACATGTCACCTACGCTCATACCACCTACCCCCACAAGTCACCTACTCCTCTCCCACATGCGATCATGCGGTGCGCCAGTGGCTGATAATAATGATGGGTACGGCAGGCGCAGCTCCAGTGGCGTGGCGCCCACCCCACATGCCACCTATCCCCACACATGCCCCACTCTCACCCACCCCACTCTCACCTACCCCACTCTCACCCACCCCACTCTCACCTACCCCACTCATACCCTACATGCCCCACTCTCACCTACCCCACTCTCACCCACCCCACTCTCACCCACCCCACTCTCACCCACCCCACTCATACCCTACATGCCACATGCCTCACTCCATATCACGGTGCAGGGCCAGCGGCTGATGATGATGGGCACGGCAGACGCTGCTCCAGTGGCGCCCGCCCAGGCAGTGGTGTTTGTGGAGGACCTGCCGGAGGAGGAGCAGGAGGCCGCCGCGCAGGTGAGCATGGAAGGGGGGATTGGGTGTAAGTGATACGAGGGGTTGTAGAGGGGGTGAGAGGAGCACTCACGGCTTGCCTCCATACGCGCAGTGGCGCCCACCCACGCGGTGGTGTTGATTGCAGGCCTGCCGGAGGAGGAGCAGGAGGCTGCCGGGCAGGTGAGCAGAGAAAAAGCCGGGAACAAGGACAGGGTGAGGCGAGCAGACGTGGGGCTGGTTGTATTGCCACCCTGCAAGGCGCGAGGAGCACACACTCGCCCAGCCCAGGCGGTGGTGTTCTCTCACTGTCTCCTTGAGGACCTTCTGAAAGGGACGTGGGAGGCCGCTGCTGGCAGGTGCGTGCCGACTGGGGAGAGAGGCTTTAAGGTGGGCAGAGAGGGGCGTGTGATAATGGCGTGATGCTGTGCTGCTACACGATAGCAAGCAGTGGTCCAAATGCTCTGCCTCTGAACGCCTCCCCTGCTTTGCGCATGTGCGCTCTCTCTCTGTGTCCCTCCCTCCCTCCCTTCCTTCCCCAACAGAAGGAGTGGTCAGCGGGGTTGGAGAATCTGGGCAACACGTGCTACATGAACGCCACGCTGCAGTGCCTCCACTCCGTGCCGCCCCTGCGCTCCGCCCTCGCGCAGTGAGTGCCCGACCCGCCCTCTCCTCTCCAATCCACATCCCATCCATCCCCACCTTGTAGCTTCCCTCCTGCCACTCCGTGCCGCCCCTGCGCTCCGCCCTCGCGCAGTGAGTGCCTGCCTGCCCAGTTGTGCCATGCTCCATGCCGTGTGCCCCACGTTCCATGCCCTACATCCCATCAGCACCTAGTAGCTGCTCTGCTTTCATGACTTCTAGTGGCCCTGCACACCCCCTCTTTCTACCCACAGGGTTCGCCCTAATAGCTCCTCTCACGTTGCCCATCCCTCCACGCCCATTTCCTCTCCACCCCCATCTCCCCTTCCCTCATCTCTCTCCCTTTGTGCCCTCCCGCCATGCCTCCCTCCCCATCCCATCTCACCGCATCCCACCGCATCCCACCGCAGATACGCCCCATAGAGCGGTATCGAGGCGAACAGCTCTGACCGCCGCCTGGCCCTGGCAGCGAGGGACCTCTTTGGAGAGCTGGATAGTTCCCTCACGTGCTCTCCTCCTCCCATGCCCTACCCTCGTGTCTCACTCCGTGCATCCCATTCCACCCCATCCCACCGCACTCCACCGCAGGTACGCCCCATCGAGCGGCATAGAGGCGGACAGCTCTCACCGCCTGGCGCTGGCAGCGAGGGACCTCTTTGGGGAGCTGGAAAAGTCACGCCGCCCCGTCACTCCCCTGCGCTTCCTCATGGTCATTGCCTCTCTTCCATCCACCCCTCCCCCCAAGTTCCCCTTTCACTCCCATCTCTTCGTCCCTGCACTTTCTCCAAATGCTCCTTCTACACTTACCCCTCTGCTCCCCCGCTTCCCCACGCCCCCTCTCCTGTCCCCCTTTCCTGTGATTCTGCCTGCTACCCTTCTATGATGCTCACCCTTACATGTACACTGTGCGCACCTTTGTCCGCGCCTACCCCTCCCTTCCCCTCCCATGCCATCTGATTCTACATGTTTCTCCTCTCCTCACATCTCTTTCGTGCCAGAGCTCACTCATCTGTTCTTCCCCCCACCTCCACTGTCTCGCTGCACCCTCTCTGCCCCCTTTGTGGCGTGCAGCTGCTGCGGCAAAGATTCCCGCAGTTTGCTCAGCAGGGGGAGCATGGCGCGTACATGCAGCAGGTGAGGTGACATGGGAGCATGGGACAGCATCACATGCAGCAGGTGAGGTGACATGGGAGCATGGGACAGCATCACATGCAGCAGGTGAGGTGACATGGGAGCATGGGACAGCATCACATGCAGCAGGTGAGGTGACATGGGAGCATGGGACAGCATCAAATGCAGCAGGTGAGGTGACATGGGAGCATGGGACAGCATCACATGCAGCAGGTGAGGTGACATGGGAGCATGGGACAGCATCACATGCAGCAGGTGAGGTGACATGGGAGCATGTGACAGCATCACATGCAGCAGATGAGGTGACATGGGAGCATGGGACAGCATCACATGCAGCAGGTGAGGTGTGTGAGAAAGAAGAATTGTTGCACTGAATAATGAGCCAAAAGGCTCTTTAGTACAAGCAATGAGCAAGAGAGAGATAAGAGGGAAGCTTACCCTATTGGCCAATAAGTTGGCCAATGGGTGAGTTTGCTTGTGGCCCAAGCAACCACAAAATGTGTGTTGGTTGGGATTGGTTAAGGTAAGGACCAATCCCCACCAACCACAAAATGTGGTTGGAGGGTACACTAACCAACCCCCCAATTTATAAGACTGCTGCACATCTAAGTCTAGCCTATGCATGTTGTATAAAATATGGAATTACAACACAACCCCCCAACATGCATAAGGCGAGAAGGTTATAATCAAGAAGTGGAGACCAACTTTGGAGGAGTAAGGCCAAGGAGACGAATCAGTGAAGAGTGAGCCGCATGCGGAAGAGCTTTCGTGAAGATGTCGGCAAGGTTGGCTGCGGAGTCAACCTTATCGAGCCGAAGGTGCCCAGCCTGAACAAGATCGCGAATGAAGAAATGACGGAGCTCAATGTGCTTGGAGCGCCCGTGAAACACAGCATCCTTCGTGAGGTGAATGGTGCTGGCGTTGTCACACCAAATGGTGGGACAGCGCTGGGGGGCACCAAGCTCCTCAAGAAGGAAGGAGAGCCAGCGAGCCTCTTGTGCAGCCATGGTGGCGGCATACAACTCGGCTTCGCAGGACGAGAGGGCGATAGCCGAGGAGCGCGTGGAACGCCAGCTAATGAGGCCGCTGCCAAGAGAGAAGCCATAGCCCTGAGAGGAGCGACGATCTGGTCGGGAATCAGCCCAGGAGGAGTCACTGTAGCCGCTGAGGAGAGGTGGGGAAGGGCCGCCAAGGGTAAGGACATAGTCCTTGGTGCCACGAAGGTACCGGAGGACGCGCTTGGCAGCCTGCCAGTGCTCGTCCGTATGCTTGCCAGCGCCAACAAACCGAGCGAGGACGCTGATGGGGTAGGCAAGGTCAGGGCGAGTGGAGACCATGGCGTACATGAGGGAGCCAATGAGCTCGGGATAAGGATGGGAGGACGATGAGGGGGAGGTGGGTGGAGAGAGGTGGTGCCCGACAGAAAGAGGTGTAGGTTGGGCGCCGCCGCGGGCCATGTCAAACCGCTCCAAGACCTGCTGCAAGTAATGACCCTGGGAGAGTGAGATGGTGCGGGCGGAGCGGTCACGGGTGATGGTCATGCCCAGGTAATGCTGCAGTTCTCCCAAGTCTTTGCACTTGAGACGGCTACCCAACTCAGCCTTAACACGTTCCAACTCTCCAAGGTCGGCAGTGAGTAGGATCATGTCATCGACATACAGAAGGATGTAAAATGGGGAGGGGGAGGTGCGGAGGAAGAGGCTGGCGTCAGAGCGGGAGGTGCGGAACCCAAGTTCAGCAAGGGTGGCGGCAAGTTTAGCATGCCACTCCCTCGGGGCCTGTCGGAGCCCATACACAGGTCGACGCAGCTGCCAGACAGAGTCTGCTGGGAAGAGGAGGTGAAAGCCGGCTGGACGCTCCATGTAGATAAGCTCGCGGAGGACGCCTTGCAGGAAGGCGTTAGAAACGTCCATCGAGTGGATCTCCATATTGAGGCGAGCGGCGAGGTCGAGCACGGCGCGAACAGTAGCAGGCTTGGCAGTGGGGGAGAAGGTATCGAAGAAGTCAAAACCATACCGCTGCGTGAACCCCTTGGCGCAGTAACGAGCCTTATAGACGGGCGGCTCCCCTGGTAGCTGCTTGACGCGAAACACCCACTTGCCTTTCACCACGTTCGTAGGGGCGGGAGGGCGAGGCACATCAACAAAAGAGGAGTTGCCGATAAAAGCCTCCAGCTCCTTAATGATGGCGGCGAGCCATAGTGGAGCGTCAGGGCACGCCATCGCCTCCTCATACGTGGTAGGAACGAAAATGGAGGGAGCAGAGGAGAAGGCGAAGACAGGTGTGCCGGAAAGGTCGAACGTGATGGGTAGAAGCGAGGGGTTATAAAGGTGGAGGTCAAGGAACTCCTCATGGGAGTCCTCAGAGAGGGAGGTGTGGAAGGCGCGGATGACTGCTGGTGCCGCTGCTGGTGCCGCTGCTGGTGCCGCTGCTGGTGCCGCTGCTGGTGCTGCTGGTGCCGCTGCTGGTGCCGCTGCTGCGTCCGCCGCTGCTCCTGCCGCTGCCGCCGCTGCTGGTCCCGCTGCTGCTGCCGCTGCTGGTCCCGCTGCTGCTGCCGCTGCTGGTGCCGCTGCGGGGTCCGCTGCTGGGGCCGCTGCTCGTGCCGCTGCTGGTGCCGCTGCTGGTGCCGCTGCTGGAGAGGAGGTGGCTGAGGAGGCTGTTGCATGAGGGGCTTGATGCAAAACAGCCTGGAAGAAGTGACGAAGAAGGGGGGAGAGAGGGGGGAGGGTAGAGGTAGAGAGGGTAACGGGAGGTGGTGCACCAAGGATGCTGTCACGTGACCTGGTGTGGGGATACCGGGTGAGTATAGTGCGGGGAGGGGAAGGATGGGTCAGTGGCGAGGGAGAGGAAGGGGGGGAAGGGGGGCACTAGGAGAGGAGTGAGCGGGGGAGACAGGAGAAGACAAAGGGTCCGGGTCAAAGATGTCACCAGACGAGGGAGGGGTACCGTGGGACTGGGACGGCGGAGGGGGGGAGGGTGGGAGGATGGGGGGAGGAGGGAGTAGTGGGGGAGGGGTGGTGTCAGACCAGACAAGGGGACGGGTGAGAGGGGGGAGTGGGTCAGTAGATGGAGGGGAGGAGTAGTAGGGAGTGGACTCGTCAAAGACCACATCCCTGCTGCGGATTAGACGACCGGATGGGGGGTGGAGGAAAAGGTAGTCGGGGGAGGAGGGGTTATGACCAAGGAAGACGCAAGGAAGGGTACGAGGGGCAAGCTTTCCCATGGATCGGGAGCGGTCAGAGGGGTGAATAAGGACATGTGCCTTAGAGCCCCAGACACGAAGTGATGAGGCATCAGGCTTGTCCTTCGTCCAAAGCTCAGTGGGGGTGATGGAGGGGAGAAGGGGGTGAGGGTAGAGGTTAGTAAGGAGGGCGGCATGAAGGAGGGCGTAGCCCCAAAGAGAAGGGGGGCAGGAGGCGTGGACAAGCAGACACCGGGCTGTTTTGGTGATCTCTCGAACACGACTCTCAGCCACACCGTTCTGCTGTGGGGAGTGAGGGAGGGTGTAAGTCTGAAGGATGCCACGAGACTGACAATAGGAGGAGACTTGGTTGTTAAGGAACTCACCACCTCCATCAGAGTGAAGGCGGCGAACAGGGCGCCCAAAATGGGTGTTTGCCCGCTCGAGCCAGGCGATGATCGCAGCCGGGGCATCCGCCTTTGTCCGAAGAAGAGAGACGGACGAGTACCGACTGTGATCATCAACAAGCACAAGAAGGTAGCGATGGCCCTGGCGAGTGGGAGAGGGATTAGGGCCCCATAGGTCCATGTGAACAAGATCAAGTGGCTGAGCAGCAGCGGAGGGGGAGCTCCGGTGCGGCTGCTGCTTGAGCTTGCTCTGAACGCAGACGGTGCAGGGGGGTGCAGGGGATTTGGGGAGGGGAGGGAGGGAGGAGGGGAGACCGTGGAGGAGACCGGAGGAGACAGATGAGCGGAGAGTGGCGAAGTTGGGGTGACCTAGCCTGTGATGGAGGAGGATGGTGGGGTGGGAGAGGGAGCGACAGGAACAGTCAGAGTCAGGAGGGCGGGGTGGGAGGGGTGGGTTAGTGGGAGGGAGGGGAGGGGGAGGGGGAAGGAGGGGGGGGGAGGCAACTTGGAAGGTGAGGGGGCGGGGAACCCGAAGGGTGTACAGACGGGAGCGGGGACAATAGGGAATACGGGCGAGAAAACGACCTGTGGAGGTTTGGTATAGGTCACAATGGTTAGCACCACCTGGGATGAGAGTGGTGATCATGGCTTGTTGGAGGGACCTTTGGGAGAGGAGGTTAGTACGAAGGGAGGGAATGTGGAGTCCGGTGACAGTACCTGAGGGAAAGAGAGGACAGGGAAGGGTGGAGGTGTTGTGACAAGGGATGGAAAAACTGCTATCAGCGCCGAGGAGGGAGGTTGGTGTGGGGAGAGGGCGCAGTGTACCAGCGTCACGAAGGACAGTGTCAGTGGCTCCACTGTCCAGAACGAAGTCAATGGTGGAGGAAGGTGAGGCAGAGTACTGGAACGACGTTTCATTAGCAGAAGAAGGGTACATGGGAGATGCAACAGATTCAGGTTGACCTAATAAACCAACAAAACCAGAGGAAGGGAAAGCGGTCGCACTGCCACCTGCAGACGGCGCCGGGGATGCACCCGAGAGATGGGCTGCAGAGGCAGCACTCCCAGCAGTCCAGGCAGGAAAGGGCTGCTGCTGGAATATCGGAGGAGGAGGGAGGAGGGGCAGTTGCGGCTGGAGGTCTAGCTGCTGCTGGAGTTGCTGGAGCTGCTGCTGGAGCTGAGATAGGAGAAGCTGCTGCCCATACTGCTGTGACCCCTGCTGCTGATTCCCAAGCTGCTGCTGCTGTTGCTGCTGCTGGTGCTGCTGCTGGGGAGGGGCGAGGGCCTGGTGGGCGTGGGTGGAGGAGGAAGGTTCATAGAGGGGAGAGGAACGGACCTCAAGGGGAGTGGGGCGAGGGTTGAGGGCGGACCAGCGAGGAGGGGTGCCGGTGTTGCCACGGGCAAACCACTCATCACTGAGTGCCTTGAAGCACGTCTCAGTGGCATGGGTGGTTTGGCCGCAGCGCTGTCCCTGAGTGGGACCGTAGCGAGGCAGGTACTGACAGGGAGGAAAGGCAGCTGCGGCACCACGACCTGTACCTCCGCTACCAGCACCACCACGTCCTGCTGATCCCCCTCGTCCACCCCCACGCCCACCACCACGCCCACCCCCACGCACACCACCACGGCCACCCCGGCTGCTGCGCGATTGGGCTGCTGCGGCTGTGGAGGAAGAGTGGCGAAGGATCTCAGCTTCGGTGGTGATAATCCACTGAGCGACTTCAGCAGGGGTGTGGTGCTTGGAGATAAGCTGCATGTACGCAAGCTTGTGAGCGTCGAAGGCAGGTGTCAGGCCCTCAAGAAGGTGGCAGCAAATGACAGCATCTGGGTACACCACATCAAGTGCTGCAAGGCGTCGAGCGAGATCTAGGACGCGGCGAGTGAAGGCAGCTGCGCCGGAGGTTGAATCCATAGAGAGAGTTCCGAATTCTTTGATAAGAGCGTAGAGGGTGGCGACGTCTTGACGGTCGAAAAGGTCGACGAGTGATCGCCACAGGTGGGAGGAGGAGGTGGGTGAGAGCTCGCGTTTGAGGGAGGAGGGAATGGTGGCGAGAAGAATGGCAAGCGCGCGTCGGTCAGCAACTCGCCAGGCAGTGATTTTGGTGGTGTAGTCGGCAAGTTGTGCAGCGTAGGTGTTGAGGTCCTCCTGGTACTTGTTGTGGAGGGCAGCAGCAGCATCATATGTGCGCTTGTCCTCTTCGTAACGCAGTTGCTGGCGTAGGTGCTCTTGGAGAGCGGTGCGGTATGTGCGAATGGCGGTTTCCGAGCTCTGTGGGTCGTTTATATTCGGCGCGAAGGTGGGAGGGTCACCCGGGGGGATAGGCTCGGCCCCAGGAGTGGCGGGGGCAGGCCCAGTAGGAGCGGTGGGGGCGACGGGCTGAAGACCGGTGTCTTCCTGGAATACAATCGATCGAAGGTTGTAGCCGCTGACTACGATAGAGGAGAGAAGCACCTCGACTGAGTGAGCGTAAGAGTGCCAATTAGCAGCAGAGTTGTCAGCAAGTAGCTCAAGTGCGTCAACTGTAGCGAGATCGGCAGAGGAGTCGGATGATGATGCCATAGGGACGAGGTCGAGGAGAGGGAAGAGGAGGAGGCAGGTAATGTGCTGGTCTCGCTGCCGCTGCTGGTCCCGCTGCTGCTGCCGCTGCTGGTCCCGCTGCTGCTGCCGCTGCTGGTCCCGCTGCTGCTGCCGCTGCTGGTCCCGCTGCTGCTGCCGCTGCTGGTCCCGCTGCTGCTGCCGCTGCTGGTCCCGCTGCTGCTGCCGCTGCTGGTCCCGCTGCTGCTGCCGCTGCTGGTCCCGCTGCTGCTGCCGCTGCTGGTGCTGCTGCTGGGTAGAACAGGAGGAGGACGAACGGGGGAGGGGGGGGGGAGGAGGGAGGGAGGAGAGGGGGAGGAGAGGGGGGCGGGGGGGCGCGGTGTGGTTGGAGGGCGGGAGGACGACGACGACGAACAGGCTTGCGGCGAACGCGTTGGGCGAGGAGGTGCGATGCGGAGGCGCTGGACGAGGAGGCCTGCTGCGGACGCGCGCGACAGGCAGAGTCGCCGCGGATGCACGCAACAAAGGAGCCCGTGCGGCGAGCAGGTCGCAGCCGTCGGTGAGCAGATCGCGACCGTCGGCGAGCAGATTGCGGCCGTCAACGAGCAGATCGACGCCGTCGACGAGCAGATCGGGGACGTCGACGAGTGAATCGCGGCCGTCAGCGAGCAAACCGCGGCCGCCGAGCAGGTTGCGGCCGTCGGCGAGCAGATCTGAGCCGTCGACGAGCAGATCTGGGCCGTCGACGAGCAGATCTGGGCCGTCGACGAGTAGAACGCGGCCGTCGAGCAGAACGCGGCCGTTGACGAGGAAATTGCGGCCGTTGAAGAGGAAATCGCGGCCGTCGCAAAGGTAGGTCGCGGAGAGGGCAAATACGGTCCGCGGGAGGGCGGATCTGGTCCGCAGGAGGGCGGATCTGGTCCGCAGGAGGGCGGATCTGGTCCGCGGGAGGGCGGATCTGGTCCGCGGGAGAGTGGATCTGGTCCGCGGGAGGGCGGATCTGGTCCGCGGGAGGGCGGATCTGGTCCGCGGGAGGGCGGATCTGGTCCGCGGGAGGGCGGATCTGGTCCGCGGGAGGGCGGATCTGGTCCGCGGGAGGGCGGATCTGGTCCGCGGGAGGGCGGATCTGGTCCGCGGGAGGGCGGATCTGGTCCGCGGGAGGGCGGATCTGGTCCGCGGGAGGGCGGATCTGGTCCGCAGGAGGGCGGATCTGGTCCGCGGGAGGGCGGATCTGGTCCGCGGGAGGGCGGATCTGGTCCGCAGGAGAGAGGATAGCGCCTAAGACGTGAAGCGGGAGGTAGCGCTTAAGGAAACACAGGGAGGGAGGCCATTATTGGCCGGGTAGGAAGAGAGGTACATGTTAGGACGGTCCTAAGGATCTTGGTAGGGCGTGAGCCATAAGCTCTGAATACCATGTGAGAAAGAAGAATTGTTGCACTGAATAATGAGCCAAAAGGCTCTTTAGTACAAGCAATGAGCAAGAGAGAGATAAGAGGGAAGCTTACCCTATTGGCCAATAAGTTGGCCAATGGGTGAGTTTGCTTGTGGCCCAAGCAACCACAAAATGTGTGTTGGTTGGGATTGGTTAAGGTAAGGACCAATCCCCACCAACCACAAAATGTGGTTGGAGGGTACACTAACCAACCCCCCAATTTATAAGACTGCTGCACATCTAAGTCTAGCCTATGCATGTTGTATAAAATATGGAATTACAACAAGGTGACATGGGAGCATGGGACAGCATCACATGCAGCAGGTGAGGTGACATGGGAGCATGGGACAGCATCACATGCAGCAGGTGAGGTGACATGGGAGCATGTGACAGCATCACATGCAGCAGATGAGGTGACATGGGAGCATGGGACAGCATCACATGCAGCAGGTGAGGTGACATGGGAGCATGGGACAGCATCACATGCAGCAGGTGAGGTGACATGGGAGCATGGGACAGCATCACATGCAGCAGGTGAGGTGACATGGGAGCATGGGACAGCATCACATGCAGCAGGTGAGGTGACATGGGAGCATGGGACAGCATCACATGCAGCAGGTGAGGTGACATGGGAGCATGGGACAGCATCACATGCAGCAGGTGAGGTGACATGGGAGCATGGGACAGCATCACATGCAGCAGGTGAGGTGACATGGGAGCATGGGACAGCATCACATGCAGCAGGTGAGGTGACATGGGAGCATGGGACAGCATCACATGCAGCAGGTGAGGTGACATGGGAGCATGTGACAGCATCACATGCAGCAGGTGAGGTGACATGGGAGCATGGGACAGCATCACATGCAGCAGGTGAGGTGACATGGGAGCATGGGACAGCATCACATGCAGCAGGTGAGGTGACATGGGAGCATGGGACAGCATCACATGCAGCAGGTGAGGTGACATGGGAGCATGTGACAGCATCACATGCAGCAGGTGAGGTGACATGGGAGCATGGGACAGCATCACATGCAGCAGGTGAGGTGACATGGGAGCATGGGACAGCATCACATGCAGCAGGTGAGGTGACATGGGAGCATGGGACAGCATCACATGCAGCAGGTGAGGTGACATGGGAGCATGGGACAGCATCACATGCAGCAGGTGAGGTGACATGGGAGCATGGGACAGCATCACATGCAGCAGGTGAGGTGACATGGGAGCATGGGACAGCATCACATGCAGCAGGTGAGGTGACATGGGAGCATGGGACAGCATCACATGCAGCAGGTGAGGTGACATGGGAGCATGGGACAGCATCACATGCAGCAGGTGAGGTGACATGGGAGCATGGGACAGCATCACATGCAGCAGGTGAGGTGACATGGGAGCATAAGACAGCATCACATGCAGCAGGTGAGGTGACATGGGAGCATGGGACAGCATCACATGCAGCAGGTGAGGTGACATGGGAGCATGGGACAGCATCACATGCAGCAGGTGAGGTGACATGGGAGCATGGGACAGCATCACATGCAGCAGGTGAGGTGACATGGGAGCATGGGACAGCATCACATGCAGCAGGTGAGGTGACATGGGAGCATGGGACAGCATCACATGCAGCAGGTGAGGTGACATGGGAGCATGGGACAGCATCACATGCAGCAGGTGAGGTGACATGGGAGCATGGGACAGCATCACATGCAGCAGGTGAGGTGACATGGGAGCATGGGACAGCATCACATGCAGCAGGTGAGGTGACATGGGAGCATGGGACAGCATCACATGCAGCAGGTGAGGTGACATGGGAGCATGGGACAGCATCACATGCAGCAGGTGAGGTGACATGGGAGCATGGGACAGCATCACATGCAGCAGGTGAGGTGACATGGGAGCATGGGACAGCATCACATGCAGCAGGTGAGGTGACATGGGAGCATGGGACAGCATCACATGCAGCAGGTGAGGTGACATGGGAGCATGGGACAGCATCACATGCAGCAGGTGAGGTGACATGGGAGCATGGGACAGCATCACATGCAGCAGGTGAGGTGACATGGGAGCATGGGACAGCATCACATGCAGCAGGTGAGGTGACATGGGAGCATGGGACAGCATCACATGCAGCAGGTGAGGTGACATGGGAGCATGGGACAGCATCACATGCAGCAGGTGAGGTGACATGGGAGCATGGGACAGCATCACATGCAGCAGGTGAGGTGACATGGGAGCATGGGACAGCATCACATGCAGCAGGTGAGGTGACATGGGAGCATGGGACAGCATCACATGCAGCAGGTGAGGTGACATGGGAGCATGGGACAGCATCACATGCAGCATGTGAGGTGACATGGGAGCATGGGACAGCATCACATGCAGCAGGTGAGGTGACATGGGAGCATGGGACAGCATCACATGCAGCAGGTGAGGTGACATGGGAGCATGGGACAGCATCACATGCAGCAGGTGAGGTGACATGGGAGCATGGGACAGCATCACATGCAGCAGGTGAGGTGACATGGGAGCATGGGACAGCATCACATGCAGCAGGTGAGGTGACATGGGAGCATGGGACAGCATCACATGCAGCAGGTGAGGTGACATGGGAGCATGGGACAGCATCACATGCAGCAGGTGAGGTGACATGGGAGCATGGGACAGCATCACATGCAGCAGGTGAGGTGACATGGGAGCATGGGACAGCATCACATGCAGCAGGTGAGGTGACATGGGAGCATGGGACAGCATCACATGCAGCAGGTGAGGTGACATGGGAGCATGGGACAGCATCACATGCAGCATGTGAGGTGACATGGGAGCATGGGACAGCATCACATGCAGCAGGTGAGGTGACATGGGAGCATGGGACAGCATCACATGCAGCAGGTGAGGTGACATGGGAGCATGGGACAGCATCACATGCAGCAGGTGAGGTGACATGGGAGCATGGGACAGCATCACATGCAGCAGGTGAGGTGACATGGGAGCATGGGACAGCATCACATGCAGCAGGTGAGGTGACATGGGAGCATGGGACAGCATCACATGCAGCAGGTGAGGTGACATGGGAGCATGGGACAGCATCACATGCAGCAGGTGAGGTGACATGGGAGCATGGGACAGCATCACATGCAGCAGGTGAGGTGACATGGGAGCATGGGACAGCATCACATGCAGCAGGTGAGGTGACATGGGAGCATGGGACAGCATCACATGCAGCAGGTGAGGTGACATGGGAGCATGGGACAGCATCACATGCAGCAGGTGAGGTGACATGGGAGCATGGGACAGCATCACATGCAGCATGTGAGGTGACATGGGAGCATGGGACAGCATCACATGCAGCAGGTGAGGTGACATGGGAGCATGGGACAGCATCACATGCAGCAGGTGAGGTGACATGGGAGCATGGGACAGCATCACATGCAGCAGGTGAGGTGACATGGGAGCATGGGACAGCATCACATGCAGCAGGTGAGGTGACATGGGAGCATGGGACAGCATCACATGCAGCAGGTGAGGTGACATGGGAGCATGGGACAGCATCACATGCAGCAGGTGAGGTGACATGGGAGCATGGGACAGCATCACATGCAGCAGGTGAGGTGACATGGGAGCATGGCACATGCATACATTGGCATCGCATGTAGATATTAGAATCAAGGATCAGGAGCCTCAGCAAGTCCGCAAGTCCCGTGCACGTCGCACTCTTTCTGCTGCTTCTGACTTCTCATGTGTCCCCACTACTCTTGCTTCCAGTGTTTACCTCATGTCATTGCTTCCCATCACTTCCCAATAACCCTCCCTGTCTCCTTGTCACTCCCCATCAAACTTCCCTGCCTTCCCTTGCCCATCAAACTTCCCTGCCTTCCCTTGCCCATCAAACTTCCCTGCCTTCCCTTGCCCATCAAACGTCCCTGCCTTCCCTCGCCCATCAAACTTCCCTGCCTTCCCTTGCCCATCAAACTTCCCTGCCTTCCCTTGCCCATCAAACTTCCCTGCCTTCCCTTGCCCATCAAACTTCCCTGCCTTCCCTTGCCCATCAAACTTCCCTGCCTTCCCTTGCCCATCAAACTTCCCTGCCTTCCCTTGCCCATCAAACGTCCCTGCCTTCCCTTGCCCATCAAACTTCCCTGCCTTCCCTTGCCCATCAAACTTCCCTGCCTTCCCTTGCCCATCAAACTTCCCTGCCTTCCCTTGCCCATCAAACTTCCCTGCCTTCCCTTGCCCATCAAACTACCCTGACTTCCCTTGCCCATCAAACGTCCCTGCCTTCCCTTGCCCATCAAACTTCCCTGCCTTCCTTTGCCCATCAAACTTCCCTGCCTTCCCTTGCCCATCAAACTTCCCTGCCTTCCCTTGCCCATCAAACTTCCCTGCCTTCCCTTGCCTATCAAACTTCCCTGCCTTCCCTTGCCTATCAAACTTCCCTGCCTTCCCTTGCCCATCAAACTTCCCTGCCTTCTCTTGCCCATCAAACGTCCCTGCCTTCCTTTGCCCATCAAACTTCCCTGCCTTCCTTTGCCCATCAAACTTCTCTGCCTTCCCTTGCCCATCAAACTTCCCTGCCTTCCCTTGCCCATCAAACTACCCTGCCTTCCTTTGCCCATCAAACTTCCCTGCCTTCCCTTGCCCATCAAACTTCCCTGCCTTCCCTTGCCCATCAAACTTCCCTGCCTTCCCTTGCCCATCAAACTTCCCTGCCTTCCCTTGCCCATCAAACTTCCCTGCCTTCCCTTGCCCATCAAACTTCCCTGCCTTCCCTTGCCCATCAAACTTCCCTGCCTTCCCTTGCCCATCAAACTTCCCTGCCTTCCCTTGCCCATCAAACTTCCCTGCCTTCCCTTGCCCATCAAAATTCCCTGCCTTCCTTCGTGCCCATCATCCCATGCAGGATGCGGAGGAGTGTTGGACGCAGCTGCTCTTCTCGCTCTCCCAGCGCCTCCGCAGTGCCGGGCAACCGTGCGTGCTGCTGCCTTCCACCCCCCTCTGCTCCTTTCCACCACCCTCTGCTCTTTTCCACCCCCCTCTGCTCCTTTCCATCGCTTTCTGCTCCTTTCCACTGCTCTCTGCTGCTTTCCACCACCCTCTGCTCCTTTCCACCGCTCTCTGCTCCTTTCCACGCTCTCTGCTCCTTTCCACCACTTTCGGCTCCTTTCCACCACTTTCGGCTCCTTTCCACTGCTCTCTGCTCCTTTCTGGTGTGCTCTGCCCTGTTCCACCCCGCTCTCCATGATCGCCTGCAAGTCTCGCGTTCATGGCTCTAGGCACCTGACCCCTACGGCTCTTGGCACCTGACCCCTACGGGTTTAGGCACCTGACCCCTACGGCTCTAGGTACCTGACCCCTACGGCTCTAGGTACCTGACCCCTATGGCTTGGGTCATGTGAGCAAAGTCAAACTCCCATGCAGCTACGACTGCTTGTTCCAGATCGTGCCCATCCTTCTCCTTTTCCTTCCGTTACTGACCCTCAATTCTCATTGTCTCTTCCTCATCCTCTCCCTGCCATGTCAGCTCGCAAGCTGAGGTGGACAACATATTTGGGATTGATCTAGTCAGCAAGTGAGTTCTCATGCCTCATCTCATCTCAGATAGTACCTGCTCCCTTACCTCCTGCTTTACCTCCCGTCTTACCTCCTGCTTTACCGCCCGTCTTACCTCCTGCTTTACCTCCCGTCTTTGTCAGATTACCATCTTCATTGTAACCTGCATCATCATATAAGCTTTGACTAGAGATAGGCACCCAAACTTAGTTTGGGTGCACAACTAGGGTTTACCCTAGTTTGAGGTTGGAACCCAACCTTGGCCCAATTATTGGGCCCCCAAGGTTGGGTTGGGAGATTATTGGCCCCCCCAATAATGTTGACCCACTTTTGGTCAACATTATTGGTCCCCCCAATAACTCCTCAACCCAACTTATTGGTGGGGGCCAATAATGTTGGCATGGCTCCTACATCCTAGCTCAACTATGTAAACCCATGCCCTTCCTAATGAAACTATCGGTTGTTCTTACACTTTCTCACATGGTATTCAGAGCAACTACGGCTCACACCATCTCGATCCTAAGGACCGCACATACCGCGTGCTATATCACGCCCCCCCTCTCTCACGCGACACTACGTCGCCCTTTGCGCCTAGTGCGCCCCTACGCCGTCACGCCCCCCCCCCCCCTTGCGCTAAATTTCAGCGCCCCCCTCCCTCCTTTCTACAGTCAATTCCGCCTCTCGCGGCTCTCCCCTCTCTCCCACTAACCCATCAACCGTCGGAACGGCCACGCCAACCGTCGGAACGATCCGCGCAACCGTCGGAACGATCTGCGCAACCGTCGGAACGACCAGCGCGACCGTCGAAACGGCCAGCACGAGCGACGGAACCCTAATCGCGGGCGGACGCCACACCCGCGACGAGCATCGGCGACCGCCGCGACCGACGAAACCCTAATCGCGGGCGGACGCCACACCCGCGACGAACGACGGCCGCGGACGCGACGAGAACGGGCGACCGCCGCGGACGCGACCAGCGGGGGCGGACGCCGCGGACGCGACCAGCGGGGGCGGACGCCGCGGACGCGACCAGCGCGGGCGACCGCCGCGGACGCGACCAGCGGGGGCGGACGCCGCGGACGCGACCAGCGAGGGCGGACGCCGCGGACGCGACCAGCGAGGGCGGACGCCGCGGACGCGACCAGCGCGGGCGGACGCCGCGGACGCGACCAGCGAGGGCGGACGCCGCGGACGCGACCAGCGAGGGCGGACGCCGCGGACGCGACCAGCGCGGGCGGACGCCGCGGACGCGACCAGCGAGGGCGGACGCCGCGGACGCGACCAGCGAGGGCGGACGCCGCGGACGCGACCAGCGAGGGCGGACGCCGCGGACGCGACCAGCGCGGGCGGACGCCGCGGACGCGACCAGCGAGGGCGGACGCCGCGGACGCGACCAGCGAGGGCGGACGCCGCGGACGCGACCAGCGAGGGCGGACGCCGCGGACGCGACCAGCGAGGGCGGACGCCGCGGACGCGACCAGCGCGGGCGGACGCCGCGGACGCGACCAGCGAGGGCGGACGCCGCGGACGCGACCAGCGAGGGCGGACGCCGCGGACGCGACCAGCGCGGGCGGACGCCGCGGACGCGACCAGCGCGGGCGGACGTCACGGACGCGACCAGCGAGGGCGACGCTGCGGACACGACCAGCGCGGGCGGACGCCGCGGACGCGACCAGCGAGGGCGATCGCTGCGGACGCGTCCAGGAGCAGCCGCGTGTCGTCAAGGCACAGCTGCAGGCGACGAGGCGCAGCCGCGGGCGACGAGACGCAGCCGCGGGCGACAAGGGGCAGCCGCGGGTGACGAAGCGCTGCCGCACGCAACGTGACCGCGCCACCCCTCCAGGTGGTGTCGTCTTTGACCGCACCCGCCCTCCAGCCGGTGTCGTCACCCTCTCCCCCCCCCCTCCTCCCCCCTCATGGCGGACGACTCTACTCCCATTGAACTCGGAGCTATCGATAAGCTCGAACTCCTCCATGACACTACGGCCGTGAACTGGGCGTCGTTTGAGGACACACTTCACACCCACCTTGGCTCTGTCATTGTTCAAGACTACTGTCTTCTTGATGTAGTTCTTGAGCACCCTAACGGCCTTCCACCCGTCCCCCCTCCTCCTCTTGAGCCTCCTCCTCCTGATGCCCCTCCTCCCCCAGAGCCTCTGTCTGATCCCCCTCGTGCCCCAGTTCATGATGACAACCCAGATCGATGGGCGGCCAACTTGAACAACTACAACAAGCTTCGCGATGCCTACACCATCCAGCGTGAGGCGCACCGTGCTGCTGAGAAGGCTCACGCTGATGCTACTGCGCGTATCCTCTCCTACGCACAGGATGAAAAAGACTATGCTGATGAACTTCGCAAGTTCAACAAGGATACTGCAGCATGGCGAATTGCGGATCGCCGCGCTCTAGCCATTATCTTCTCCTGCATCCCTTCCCATCTCAAACGTGACCTCCGCCCCACCTCCTCCTCTGGCCTCTGGAAAACCCTGTCCACTCAGTACGACCGACAGGACCTTCGCTCTCTCCTTGCTCTCTTTCGCAAATTTCAAGACACCACTCTTGACTCATCCCCCACTGCTGCTGCCTTCACTCGGCGCCTCATCGACACTGCGCAACGTCTCAACGACCGCGGCATTGTCATTCATGAATCACTTCTCACTGCACGCATCCTCGACTGCCTTCCACCCACATACGATACCTACCGCATCACCTTTACCTCTAGGTACCGCCATCCTCCTCCTGTGGCCGACACAATCGACTGGCTCCTTGACAGCGAAGCGGACATCCAACGTGACTCCACCACCATCAATGCTATCCAGGCTCGCAAAACTCCCGCAGGCAACCACAGCAGCGGCGGAGGTAGCGGCTCAAGCGGTACTGGCGGTGGCGGTGGTGGACGAGGTGGTGGGCGAGGCGGTGGACGCGGTGGTGGTCGTGGTGGCGGCCGTGGTGGGCGTGGCAAAAACCCCTCTCCCTCGGGTACCCTTCCCCCGTGTCAGTACATCATTCGCTATGGCTCCAACAAAGGTCAGCCTTGCGCTCAAACCACTCACACCACTGACACGTGCTTCAAAGCCCTCACTGATGAGTGGTTTGCACGTGGCAA